CCACAATCTGAACATTATTTCATCACATCAAAGCCGTGTTTAAGGCACGATGGGTGTGGAATGTATATATTTAAAATAAAACTAACTGGTAAATTCAATCAGCCGAAAAATCAATCAACATATTGAAGAGTTTTTCATCCTGTCTAATAAACAGAAAGATCGTATAACTTTTATATTTAAAGGTACTCTTAAGATTATAGATAAATAAATGAATAAATTAATCTGTCGGTATACGCAGTAAAGGCATTTGTGACTATATCTGACCACTGGAATGTAATGTAGATACATATATCTCAAGGATAATTATACCCAGTAAAATAAACAATACTTTTATCATTTCTGGTCTTACTATGTAGCCTTCAAAGATTGTACAAAAGATAAATGAATGATAAAAGTCGTTATCAGACGGACAACTCATAACACAGGGTTTCAAATGATGCAGCATGATGAAAAATATGGGGAAGTTTTACGGTCGTCATAGTGATTAAGAAATACTGTATTTCCTTGTGTGATATGAAGCTGGACGTGTTTGATGCTCGTTAGTTTGCCTGTTGGTGCATTTGTTGTATGCCTTGTTCTCATTTGGGAACGTGACATTACTTACTTTGATTGACCAAGGTTTACATGGCGGTATCGTCGATGAAGCAGAAGATGCTTACTGTCCCGGAACACCTGGTCTTGTACTTTCTCATGAGTCTCTGTATAAATCTTTAATTCATATCTTGCCCTAATTTCTGGAATTTGAGTTTGGATTACGATTATTTTGACTTGTCGGTGTGTTCCTGATGTCTTTCATATGATAATATAGATATCTTATCACAATGCCCAAATAAGATGTTTATTTTAAGACGTAATCCATATTATTTAAATACTATTATATTTACTTACTGCCGTCTGTATTATACATGTCTTTAAATTCACCAATTGAAAATAATTGGTAAATATATAATATAATACGTAATTTATTGAATTATGGGCTGGTGCGCCACCCTATATCTAGATTTTGACATTTTTGTTGATCACTTTGGATTGTCCTCATTCGCTTTCTAGGTTTACCTTTTAGGGTCTTAGCATTGCTCATGAGTCCTACATGGACGGAACAGTTGTATGATGTAGCGTCACTGATGAGTCTTACAAGGACAAAATAACCATATGATGTAGCATCACTCACGAGTCCTAAAAGGACGAATTAGCTGTATGATGTAGCATCACTGACGAGTCCTACAAGGACAAATTAGTTGTATGATGAGTCTTACAAGGACAAAAAAGAAGATATGTATGATGAACTTTAATTCATTTCTTGGCTCTACAGTATCTAACCCTAATTTTTTATAGATGGTATTATTCATTTGTATGTGTCTTTACACATTATGATAAAGACATTGTCAAAATGACCGGACAACGGGGTTTCTAGTAAGATAGTTTCCATTAATTTATAGTTTGTTTCAATAGATACATATTAAATTATATGATACAATACACGATTGGAGTGGCCAGTGTAGACGTGCCTGCTCAGGTTATTACATACCAGTATCACTAGTGTTGAGAATAGCCATAAACAAGTGAAGAAAGGAGTTCAGGCTAAAACATATTCATAACTGATAGTGATATTGATCTAGGCCTGTTCTGTGGGATGGGCCAATCAAAAGACCACCAGAGTAATTCTATATTAATCCTTTTCTTTACAAAATGGGTAGCTACCTTATCATACTCGGACAAAAAAAACCAGCCAACAAAAAAAGTAGCACAGCACACAATATACCACCAATAAATATCTATTAAATTACATGATACAATACACGATTTGATTGGCAAGTGTAAACGTGCCTGCTCATGTTATGTGGTTACTCGTATTTACTTTGTTTGGAACACCTTGGATGGCTTAAAATCGTTCATAGTTCTACTCAATGTAGAAGGAAATACTTGTATTTCGGCGATATAGAACTGTTCTTGTATATTTCCATTATTTCATATTTTGCCATCATTTATTAGTTTGAATATTTAGCTTTATAACACGGAGTTACCCTCTTTTTTATTATATTAAGCTTTATAACACGGAGTTACCCTCTTTTTTATTGTCTTACCAGGGATTAAAAAAGTTTTCGTAAATACCACATTCAAGTAAACGCCATATTGTTATGAATCATATTAGCCAAATTATTTCATTTAGGCAAAAATTCATCAATTTGGCTCTGACAGGCCAGAAGGCCCTCCCTTGAATGTGTAGACATCGAGCGTTATAACAGAATTCAAACTAAACAATCTACTTCAGTATGAATGGCGGTCACAATCAGTCAGCTTCAATCTCTATATCTAACTTTATCTTTTCAGAAATATAAATGAGGTTTTCCAATCATTTTTCAAATTCATCTTTATTGTCCATATTGATTTGAAGATAAACACACAACAAATCGCTTAATAAAGAACTCTATCACTACAGTCATTTAATTTTACCTGCATAAATCGCGAACAATGAACTTTGACCTAGTCTCTATTGTGTGTTTTTAGAGCTTTATTCAGATGTGTCCCGTTTCTGAAAGCATTGTGTGCTTAACATGTTCAGGAGACAGAAACTTTCTATTCAGGTATTTCTTCCATTTTTTTTTTCAACATCAGTATTGCACGTTTTTGTAGGTGAATGTTTATTCCTTTGTTAATTTCAACGGTTTTAGATAGTTATCACTTAAAATACTAAATGGTTTTGTCTGATTAACTCGCTAACCTTACGAAATAAAAAAGTGGAGATCTACCTCGAAAGCAAATATTCAGTACTCTCCATAGAATAAATCATGTTTGTATAGACTCTATTCTAAAGTATTCTATAGTCAGTTAGGTTCACCGCAGCAAGTCCCCATTAAACGTTGACCTAATTGTCACCGTCTACAGTCCGGTCAGGTGTGTACGATGTACCATTAAATTCAGACTTAATATACAGTCTTAGTTATGAAAGATAACGTACATGAAATAGATTTGTATATAATGGTATAGCTGTTGTGTAGTAGTTTTGATTAAAATTACAGATTATAAATTTTGACGATATATATTTATATGTAAAATCTTTATTTTTATAATCTTATAGATGGAGAAGCATGATTATATGGGGAAAACCCAAGTAGCTTACATTATTAACAATTGTTACATTAAGCGTTGTTATTACATTAAGCGTTGTTATTTCATTAAGCGTTGCATGTACATGTACACCACATATAACAAAAATCAGTATGGATCTCTGATAAAACAATATGCATAATACAAATTTCAAATCAAGCAAAGAGATAATAATATTCAAAATGTAAAGTCGTTTGTTGATTTCAAGAATACAACATTTAGCTTTCATTTACTTGAATTCATAGGATTAGTTATCATCTTGAATGACGCTTCTATAAATATTGACAACGGTCTTCCAAGTGTACCTTAAACATGAACCAAATTTGTTTAGTCTGATTGTGTACAGAGGTATCGATATTTTTACCGTAAATGATGCAATATTAAAAACACACAGTGATATGAATATAAAACAAAGTACAAATAGCACATCTGTTATAAATACTAATCTTCTTTGAAGGATTTTGATTTATACATGATATAAAAAGTAGGTCATGAATGGCACAATCATATAACACTAAACACTATATCTGAAATGAAATAACATTAAAAGACTGTATGGATGTAGATGCGTTATCTGAACCACTATAGCCTGTATCTTAATTGTATGATTGATAAGTCATGCCCCCACCCTACCCCAATCCCATCTTTAAAAAAAAAAAAAAAAAACAAAGTAAAAATAAAAAAGCATCAATATAAAATTAGATAAGATGTTTTACAAGAGACATACAAGAGATTAGCACCTTTCCTTTTAAAAATCATAACCCGGCAAGTTAAAAGCATCTTGCCTATAGTTATATAAATATATAAATGATCTTTCAATAAGTTATCACATCAGGAATGCATTATGGTCAGACCAATGCCTCCCAATGCATATCTTTATATAATGCATGCATAGTGTAACTCAACGGAATTATGCAGCAAAGATGATATATCTCACACCATACCATTTTATTGTTAACTTGGGACTTGGGAAAAATGCATACAAATCACACATTGCATCACAAAGCTCTTTCTAGGACTCGTGAGTTGCGTCAATCTGTGTTATGACGACCTTGCCTGATAGATAGATACCCAGTAGCGTGTTTCGTAAATACAATATATTATTCACACAGCAAGTCATTTTGATAAATTAATAAAAATGTAAATGTATAAATGATACAGCTTTTATATGGAATAATAAATTATGTTTTAAAATAGAATATCAACTTGAACTCATTTGTGTAGTTTAAGTTTATGCTCAGGCAAATGTGTGCAAACGTAAGAAAAGTACTGCAAATCGTAATAGATTTATCGTTCACCTTTCACTTCAGCGTGTGTGATGTGGACGATAAGAACTCACGAATCGTATATAACAATACAATGTATAGAAGACAGACGAGTTTTAACTGGCTTTGAGTTACCGTAAATAATATGTAACTCTACCCACGTGCGCAATGGTGTTTTAGGTCCCTTTTGGACTGACAGACATTGAAAACAGCGAAAACAACAACACCACCACAGGAATACTAACGAAAATGATATTTGTTATTTATATATTTAGTTATTGAGAAAAGTCCATTAGTAGCTAGAACTTGTCTATCGTCCATTTATCTGCTACTGATAATAAAATATATTTAAATCAATACTAATGAGCATCGAACGCATCCAACTCCATATACAAACACTTTAAAATATTATCTATAATCTTCATCCAAGTAAATAATGTCACGTTCCTTAATGAGAACCAACCTAACAACTACGGAACCGTACCTGGTTCATTATATCACAGAATAATTCCATGATATCATTGTGACAAACGTTAAACGTTTCCACAATTTTTCGTAAACCTGCACCTCTTCATTTGCACGTAAATCGTGATTAAAGGAAGTATAAATTCATCGATAGTATTGTTTCTATAGTGATGTTGTGATATTTGCCAATGTTTGTGTCCATGCTTCAGCGAACTGAATATCGAACTGTTCTATGTATTGTCTTGCATATAATTCCTTGTACATATCTACAAGGTCTGATATAGTGGTAGAATCTTTTGACGATAGAAAATAAATGAGTTGCTCACATTTTTGATACAAATCTAACTCAGCATTGAAATCGCGTAATATGTTGTGAGCATTCCTTTCTTGAATCACGTACGGAGACGAAAATGCCACTCGAATGTCTTTTTTGTGAAAGAAATATTGCGCTATATAACCTCTCCATATATCACTGACACGTCCATTAACGCTAATCGGAAGAGCCATATAAGGAAAAGCAGGTGCTAACCATAAAGTTGCTTGTGCATTGATTGGAGCGAATGTATTTCTAGGCAAAACGAATGGTCGATGAGATTTTCGTGTCGCGCTAAAATTAAACGGTGCATCACGTGTCATTCTATAAATAGCATCTATATCCGGTTGTTCATTTGCTAATGATTGCACCACTCCTAGTGTAACAGAATCGCTTGATTTACATATAACTGGAACAGTTGTTATATTTTTAATATCTTGCAAAGGGAAACCTCTCGGCCAGGTATGGGTTTCAGTCACTCCAAAATACGGGTAAGGATTCCAAAGTATACTTTGTGCTCCACTACACACAGTAGCATGAGGGAATGGAATATCTGACTTAAAATCGTTCAGATCCACTGTCCCATAATTATCATCATCAAAATCCCAGATAACGTTCGCTTTGTGATGTATAGCATATATATACCCTATATTTTTTCTTCCAAAGTGTTTGGTAGAGATAACATCTGAAAGGAGAGGATACAACGCTATCTGTTCCTTTACTGAAAGGTATTTGATTCTTTTCAAATCTGCAGTAGTCGTCACAATATCAGGAAGGTATGTTTCTTCCGAAGGAGTGGTCGTATCCGCCACTATCACTAAACACCAATTTGAAAGTGAGGCTATGTACTGGACAGCTTTCGACGGGGAGAAAATCGTCGTTACTACAGCCCAGTTATTACATGTTGGCATATTGTCTGAAATGCCAACAGGTGTTTTATTGCTGGTGAGTATCCTCTGAAAAGGCGTCCTGACAACATCTCCTGAAAATAACTTTCCTGTCACGGCACCAACATATCCAGTTTGAAGTGTGGCCCCTGGTTTGTTATACTCGTGAAGTTGTTTCATTACCTCAACGGGCGATTTATGGTTTAGAACGTACCTGGAACAAAAGTTTTCTTTTATGTTTTCCAACATCTCCTGTTCATGATTTCTACCAAATTGTACAATTCTATAATTATCAGGTTGGTGATCCACATCATTATATATCGAAAGCCAGGACCCAATTGATGTTCCGCCATAGTCAGTGTCAATTAAATCCACGCTTGGCTTACACTTTTCTCCAACACAATATCTACGCTTAGCAATTCTTCCGATTAAATCCTTTCCAAGAACCACAAACATTTCATCCACTCGTTTATCAATATCAACACTGCATCCAGTACCATGTGACCAACCATAGTACAATGTTGGTGATTTGAATTGATCAATTCTTTGAAAAACTTGCGGAACGCACAGAAATACATCATCATCTAATTTAGCACCTAGCGAAGCATCCGGATATTTTTCATGAATGTATTTAATCCAAACATATAATTTTTCTCCAAATCTAACACCACGTCCTACGCTTGTCACATTAAGAAATACAATATCATCGTATTTTTTGTTTTCCAATATTGTATCATTTGTTGGTTTGTCGACTAGAAACTTGTATGTTATTCTAAATGGAAGTTCATCGTGTAAAAGACGAATTGTTGATATCCATGTTGTGCGCTGTCCGTCCCGGAAGTTTATGTTTGTGTGCGGTGTCAGTACGCCCAATACTAAATGAGGCCTGCTATCAAACTGTGAAAGCTTTTTGTGAGTTTCCTCTTTCCGGTGTTTTTTCGTTGTATACCACATCAGAAGGCCGATGATAACAATGGAAAAGACAAGAAAGCACAAAGAAAATCTTACTAAAGTTTTTTTGCGAAAAGTGATCTTCATTTTTATGTTCCTGGCAGAGCTTCTAGTTTGACCCAACTGAAAAGAGATAATATTAAATAACGTTAGGTATTCTGCATATACAGAAAATGCAACGATACAATATTGTAAGTAAAAATCGAGTAAATTTAGATACTGCGAAATCATATTTTGGTAGGGCTCAATTTTTGTAATTTTCCAAATAAAAAGATAAGTAAATACATAAAAAAAATATTTCAATTGAATTATATAAAAAAGAAAAAACACTTTTATGTTACACGTGGGATAACCATAACTGTAGCTCATTGTGTCTCCTGGATTGAGATTACCCATGAAATAAACGAAAATAAAACTCTCATGAAAATAAAATATATGACAGAATATAGCTTGCCTATATGTTGGATTTTTTTTGTATTAATAAATTTGACAATAAACTAGATATGAATTTGGTATCCAACAGTTAAAAATACTTCACATTTAGAAAATATTGAACTATCATCCATATTATAAACTCAATCAAAAAAGTAAACCAACAGAATTAAACCAAAAAAAAATTGGGGGATTTTATTGTTGCTAAGTGTATGATATATGTATATCATGACGATATCTTCGACTGATTAGAAACAAACACAAGAAAATTTGTCTCGTGTTGATACAGAATTGTAATACTGAACAGAACACATGAAAACTATAATATCACCCTAATAAAGTATTAGCTCTGCGATATAAAAAAATACTGGTATTTCAAATCTGTCTCTATGAGCCAGAAAAAAATTAAGTAAATTTGTAACCCTTACTCAAAGTTATACAACCCATTTTACGTTCATTAAAGAAAAGTAAAAAGACCTTTTGCCTTGATATAGCATATCACAGTACTTTTATTCGTTAATATAAATGGCTTGCTAGTGGAAAGGATAATTATTAATTTTCTAACCCCTACATGGAGACGATTTTTCTTCCTCCATAATGTCACATCAAAAATGTAAAGTTTGTTTGCTTGTAGCTTCTTCGGTTTGACAGGGATTTGTCCTTTGCCGTTTTTCATTGTTTGCAATTAACCATATTTCATTTAATCGAAATATTGTAGCTTGTTCGGTTGGTCAAGGATTCATCCTTTGTCGTTTTTCATTGTTTGCAATTAACCATATTTTATTCAATCAAAATATTCTTATTATAGTTACTAGATCAATAAACCCTGTGTTTAGTCACAGACCACTACAAGTTCAATCCATATCACATGAATAAACTGAAATATCCTCGCAGTTCATGAGTGCGGGTATTTTAAAGAAAATGGTGACCTCGCTTCCCACTTTCTGTAATTATTGATTTCTTTAGACATCGTTATATGACACCATTTTTAAAGGTCTTCCATGACTTAGTATCGAACTTGATAGTCGTTTCTATAGTATATTTAGGGGTACTCGTCCAATACCATACGGTTTATTTACCGAATCCTTCATAAACACTGATTTACTTTAATGACGTTGATCGATCGCATGACCATGCATAACAAATGGTGTTTAGTTTAAACGGCCAAGTCTGGACATCCCTTGAAAAACATTAATCTCTGTTAACGCGTTCAGACAGAAAGTCATTTCATTAAACAGAAAATCTACTGGTAATATGGAATATATATGAAATTGTATTTCTAACGTAACATATTTCAAAATGGAAAAGAAAAATGACGATGGTATTTCGAAAGGTACTGAAAGGATATTGACAATGTTATTCCTAAAGAAACTGAATGGAAGCAATGACGAACGAAAAAAGATACAAAACATGGTGTATAACGCGACATGGTGTTTTTTCAAATTGGTAGAGACACTGATTGAGATTTCTAAAGGGACATACGGACGAACAGACAGGCATAATGGGAGCCATGGAGTGCAATAATCAATAAGAAATGATCTATAGGACTATTTATGTGAATGGAAAGTGGAAAAGTCTTTCAATACAGGATGGCATAAAAGCTGATATCTTTTTACGCTTTTAAAGTAATAATGGGAATAGTGAGAAGGAAACAAGAAAATTAAATAACCCATATTAGTTATTCTGTAAAAATGGCAAAAATAAAATCAAGGAGAATACAACTCATATCGAGGATAAGTTATCAAAATGAATTAAGAATGTGTTTTTTGTCAAATAATTCATTTGTCACTACTTTTTAAAGTAGAGTCATTTTGGAAATTAATACAGACCTGACCACCTCTCATCTCAATACCATCTTAGTATGAGTTACGTTACATGACATTTCGCAAAACAGAAACAGTTTCCGAATTTCTTCTTTTGGAGTTCGAAATGTTGAATTGATGCTTCATTCAAAACAATTGTTCACTAGTCTAATATGAAACATAGATATAACGTGAAATTTTAAACAATTTAAACAATGTTTCCTGGCACAGAAAAAATATTGGATACGAATTTAAAGCAGTCACCAAATCAAAAATAGATTGTGTGTATGTTGACGGATTTTAATTGAGCCTGTAGCCCCTCAAATTCGTTTTCATCAATTTATCTTGGTACAGAAAACATAATTACTTACAACTGAAATAAAGTAAAGCCATTTTACAGAGTAAAACATTCTTGAAATATTTCCGACCGTACCTAGTCTCTAACTACAACCGTTTGCAAAAATAACAGTCATGAAGAAAAATCTTTCCCTTAAATGAGCCATACGTTTAACTAAATGTTCAACATACAATTATGCTACTGTATATCCGAATTCATATACTAATACTGGACATGAGCAACCAGATTTAATTTTGGCTATACCTTAACTTAACCCAGATACATGTTTAACATGTGTTTAGGTTAAACTGACTTAATACTGTTGTATGTCAGAATTTATGAACAAGTACTGAGTACGAGCGACTAAATTATATTATATTTTACCTGAATTTCTGTTCAGCTAACTAAATCTTATGCCAAACATGTATTTACGTTCAACTGACAACTAAGCAACTGATTGAGAAATATATTTATAACCATTTGATGGATTTATCGTTATGCTATAATTTTATTTATGCTATTATGTTCACCAAAAAACTATGCTGATCATCAACAACATAATATATATAAAAATTTTTAACGATACAAATAAAAGAAGAATTGAAATTTTAGGAAATCAACGGATTCAGCTTTGTATGTTCCTGGAGAGAAAAACCAGAGTGATATAGTTACAAAAATTGGCCATTTAGATATTCCCAATAACGAGGTTATATGCAGACAAATAAACCAGGACGATGATTAAATTTTAATCGCTAAATGAAAAAAAATCTACTTACCACGTAATTATTTCTGTATCCAATAAATAGATCCGTATATGTTATTTTTCACGAGTCAATGTTGGAAATAAATTTGTAATTTGAAAACAAACATTTGAAATACCGGAATCCGCACAATGTTTTCCTCTGAACAGCGTCTAGCAAAATACAAAAAAAATACAAACGTTTATCGTCTGATAAGATCTATTGAAGGCACTGTTTGTCGGTTGCTTGGTAACGAATGGCAATATAGGTCACACAGGTACTTCAATAAAAAAACACACACACACTCAACCACATACGCATATTGCACTGGCCAGGCTACCTGAATGGACATGGACAATAGATTTCTGAAATTACCTCAAACGACTATTCAAACACTCCACTGATCTCATTGCACTGACCTCGCTACCTGAATGGACATGGGCAATAGATTTGAGATTACCTCAAACGATTATTCATAGACTACAATGATCTCATTATTCATTTGTTTGTCTCCGATCCTAAAATGGTAAGGGTAGGTAAAATCAATGTCTATTGTATGGTCTTTAAACACACCTTTTATCGTTCCAATGGTTGATCAGTCTCGTCCAATGTACCAGGCATTTGAATGGAAATGTTCCGACCTGTCCTATCCTGACCGTGGTAACAGGTCTAGACTGTTACATGGTTTCATTAACACACAGTTGTCTTCAAAGGAAAGTGTTTACTAACTCTTGTATTTAAGTCTTTGTGTAAACCTTGCGTTCGTTCATGTTTTCCTTTGCATATTATCTTTGATTCCATACTGATGCCAGTACTGTCTTGTCGGAGAGTGATAATTCAAAATATTCGTGCATCTTCGTGTCTGGTTTGGTTTTTGTATTGGTGTAACCTATATAATTTGTTTGACGTGAACAATGGAGTAATACATATTTGACTAACAATGCAGATTCTAATCGCTCCGTTACTTTCTCCATACTGATCAGAACATTCTATAAGGGGTTATTTTCTGGTGAACTTCCCGTTATGCTGAGAGTAATGGAGTGAGAAATAGGACTGCATTTTAATCAGGTTGTGGATTGAGTTTTATCATATTCATGAAGTTATACCAGCATGAGGTCTGGATTTTATCAAAGTTTACATTGTAAATTCTATTTTTTCTTATATTAGGAATTCACAAATTCTATACTGTTTGTGTCATCTATATTACACAAATTGTGAATTTAAAAAATACTTTTAAATGTAAATGTGATGTAAAGTTTTGGGATTGCGAAGGGTTACATGAAGTGCGATGCACATCAGTGTAAGCACAATGTAAGCACACCGTGTGCACAATACAAAAAGCGCAGGAAATTAACAACATGTGCGTATGTTGTGCGGGTTTAGCACAGATTCCATCGTGGCTAATTTAGAAATTAGTGTATTGAAGAGTTTATCTTTTTTTCTAAATGTATTATGGAATTAAGGCATAAATATATAGCTTGTAGATCCTGGATCCTCCTTAGATATATATATATATAAATCATTAATTAACCATATATTTTTATTCTTTGTGCGGAAATATTAGCAATCCGGTTGAGAAATAACGAAAAAATTAAAGGGATAAATGTTAACAATTTTCCAATTATTTTTTCTCAATATGCAGATGATAGTTCGCTTATATTAGATGGATCAAGGGAATCACTTAATGAATCTATAAAATAATTGAATGCTTTTGCTAGAATATCTGGTCTAAAAATAAATCTGAATAAAACACAAGTGGTATGGATAGGGAGTAGG